CCATTTACCGTTCAACCCACCACCCGCAACGCCTTCCTCCTCCTCCACCAACACCACCACCACCACCACCCTTACCATCGCTGCCACCCATTAACTCGTGGCTCCATCCATACTTAGGCAAGGCTCAAAGGAGCTTCTGTTGTCGCACATCACACAATCTGAGCCTCGCGCGAACGTTGCGCGACTGCTCGACCCAGAAAGACCTTTATTCCCCACACGTCGCCTGGATCGCATCGCATCGCATCGCATCGCAATCACATCTTCATCTGGTTGCGCTACCTACCAGGCCGTTGCCGCACGCGCGCCTCCACCACCGACCGCCTACCACCAGTTCGGCACGCCCAGCACCATCATACGCATTTCTGACTGGGTTCCCAAACCTCCCGTGGCCTTCATCCGCACCTCCTCTTCACGCGACGGCCACCTCTGCATCTGACCGTGTCGCATCGCATTCGTTGCGGTCCTGAGTGCTGCCACCACCAATCCTGTGCCTGTCCTCGCCGCCGTTGCACACGCCCACGGCCTACCGCCGGCCGATCAAAGACGGCGCAAAACTCATCCAAAAGGTAAAACCTCACCTGTTCAGCTATCATCTTTTGTCGTCCACCCTATTCCTCTCTCTTGTCTTGCCTTTTCTTTGCCTGGCTGCGCTCCGTCTATGACATCCGCCAGTTCCGCCTCTCTCAATTGCCCCGCGCTACCGGTACTGGTGGTGGACCAGACTCTTCGCTGCTTAGCCATGGCTGCTGGCGTGCTAAGCGACCTGGATTACACCGTCCGCCTTTGCTTGGTATAATCTTGCTATCATTGCTCTTTCGGCCACTCATCACGAACACGGACCTCTCTCTAACTGATGATTAATTTTGCCGCCCGCCCCTCACCCCCTTCCACCCCTCACATCGCTGCCTCACTCGAGCGGCCATCTGCTCGTTCCTTTTGGCTGGTTCGTTTCCAATAACCTTGTCCTGTCTCCCCCCTACATTCCATCCGGTCTTCCTTCAGGGCTCCGACACACCCTCCCCCTCCCCGTAAACCGCCCGTCCACATACATGCACGCTTAATCCTGCCTATCTGCACATCCTCTTTCCCCAGATCTCCACAGTCCAACTACCTCACGACACGTCGCTTGCCCCAACATCGTTGCCGCTGGCTCGGGTCGTTCCTGTCTGTCATGTACAACGCGCGCCCACCTGGCGCCGATAGTGCGACAATCAACCCCGCGGCCCTCAGTTCCCCTGGTGAGTTCTTCTTTTCTTTTTCCCCGTTTTGTTTGATGAACCGTTGGTTGGTATGAACCCCATTGCCGGGCCACCACCCACCACACCCATCGCTCCCACACACACCCACATTCATCTTTAGCACGAACGTTCAAATTCACGGACTTTGTGGGACCAGAATATTGCGACTCTCGAAGAAGAAGAATATAATAAACACTGCTTGTTTGTTTGTCCCGTGTTCTCTCGTGCTTTCTGAGTCGAGCCTGGCGCATTCATTAACACATTCACCCCACGCGGCGCCCTGGCGCGCGCCGCGTGCTGCCGTTGCGATCCACCTATTTATTCCCTGCTCTTTTCCAAACCCGCTGCCAAACCTCAACTTTGACTCAGCTAATCTGATACGCCTTTGAAGGTTTAGCAAACTCGTCGCTTCGCGGCTACAAGCGCGGTCGCTCACCAACCTCTTACGCCTCGCCGCATCCCGGCGATGATGGTATGTCGTGGGCTGCTGCTTTCTGTGACGCCGAGCAAGTTGCTTGTCCACATGAACACTCCCGTGAACGACCGATCCCCTCACCCGGCCTCCATGACCTCACCTCCCTCGTGAAACCTTGCGCAAACCAGATTAGATTCACAAATTGCTCAATCCACCTAGAACTACTAACTGACGACGCACGCTGAATCTAGGTGACGTTGAACGCTCCTCGAAACGCGCGACCTCTACAAAATTAAAGCACACCGGAACTCTTCCTACGACAGTTCCTGGCCAGGCGCCCGTGTCCACAATGCCTCAAACAGTCCCCCCTCCTCACACGCCGCAAACTCAAGATGCGAGCTTGCCATCGCAAACCACTCCGGCTTACCAAGCTTCCCCTGCACCCGCTGCAGCTCCGCCAAAGACCACTCCAACCAAGTCGACGCTAAAGGCTCTACCTACCGTAAGAGATCATACGACTGACCAATTGAATGAGACTGGCGACGAATATATCCCTCGTGAAATCGATGAATTTGGAGAGAAGAAGGTGATGCCAAATGGTCAACTCCTCGGAAATCGAGTATACCGATGCAGGACGTTCTTGGTTCCCAACCGCGGCGACAAACTTTTCATGCTTGCTACAGAGTGCGCTCGGGTTCTAGGCTATCGCGATTCATACCTCTTGTTCAACAAAAACAGATCTCTCTACAAGATTATTGCGAGCCAGGCTGAAAAGGACGACCTTGTCCAGCAGGAAATCCTCCCGTTCTCGTATCGATCGAGGCAAATAGCGATTGTGACCGCGAGGTCCATGTTCCGTCAGTTCGGTAGTAGGGTAATCGAGAATGGGCGACGTGTCCGCGACGACTACTGGGAACAGAAGGCCCGCAAACAAGGCTTCACAGAGGCTGATCTCGCTGGGGAGAAGCGACCTGGTGCTGCCAAAGCAAGAGAAGCCGCCGAAGCGCAGAACAACGTTCTCATGCCGAGCTCGCATACAGAGATTGTCTACAATCACAGCCCTGGCGCCTACCCCGGTCCACCTCAACCACCACTCCTTCAAGCAGGTATGATCGGAGCGCCACCTGGAAATTCCACAAGGATGCCTGGATTAACAATAGGATCAGATTTGAACGACAATAGGCCGCGTGACTACAGTGGAATTATTAAAGGTGGTCCACGACAGGAAATTACCGGCCCTCCGTACCAAGACCAGACCCGGCCCTCGCCTCTCGGTGAGATTCACTCACAAGCTTCACATGCAGCCGAGTTCAACAGGAACGTCAATCAGCAACGGGAAATGCGAGGTGACTATCTTCAGAACATTTGGCGCCGTCCTCATGAACAGCCGTCGTCCAACTTGAACCAACCCAACGACCCAGCCATCCCGACAACGAGATCCACTAACTCACCTCATACGACTACCTCGGGAATCTCTCAGCCACCTGTTGTATCGTCCCAGAGCCCACAGATGATGATGACGGCGGCACCTTCTTACCCACAGACAATCCATGCCCAGGCAGGCCAAGCGCCAATCCGAGGTATGTCCCCTTCAGTGCCGTTTAAGGGCAGTGTATCTCATTGCTGAATTTCTTTTATAGCAGGGTCCTCGAGCAGCATCAGCCAAGCACCAAACTATAACTATCAGTCCGGCCAAAACATGTGGTCGCAAAACCCACAGACTCCCCAACATAGTTATGGTAGCTACACAACACAAGCCCAGCCTCCCGCGCAGTCCCAGTCGCCAGCTTCTCACTTGCGACAGTCTGGTACCAGTCAGATGCAACCAGGGATGCAGTTTCCCGCAATGGGTGGCATGCAATATCCGGCCTCAGGGGGGATGTACTCAGCAGAGCAAACACCCAGGCAGTACTTACCACAGAGCACACCTGCAAACCCTCAAGTCTCACAGTCATGGTCCGGGCAGCATTCGTCACCTCAGCAATGGTGGGGGGCACCGCAACAACAACAACAGTGAGGCGCTGCCTCGTGAATTGTTTGCCTAGTTTTTGTTTTCAGTTGAAATTTACTTCTGCGTTGGCTCTAATATCTTTACCCTTCCGTTGGCTCGGTAGCCTGCATTATTCCTGGATACCCAAGCACGCTAGTTGGTGGTGAGGCTTATTTGCTTTCGGACCTGAGGTCCAATCTAGTAGCATTGGCAGGGGTTGGATAGAGGAGTCGGGTTTGGGGAGCTCACTAGCCGCCTTGTTTGATTTGACGGTGGTTTGGCATTTGCTGCTCACTTATCTGATGGGATGGAGTTCTACACATGCGTACCACGTTCTCACGCACATGCACGTACATGGACTACTACCTTTTTTCACAATGGGCTTGACTCTGGGAGGAGGGCTTCGTTCTCATTGCTGTTCAGGAAGGATTCACATATGTTTTCCTCTTTCGGGTTTTGTTCTTCTCGGGTTTTCTCATACTCGGGTTTTCTCGCCGGTTATATACACGGGGGTTATGCACACTGCTTGGTCTCTCTCGTTTCTTCCTATTTTTATTTCTTTTTTTTTTTTTTGATACCACTCGGTTTCTTGTCGATTTTTCAGCTTCAATTCGTTGGCTTCCACGGTGTGTTTGATCCCGATGACTACATGGTCTTGGTTGGCGAGGCAAGCCAATGTCATCAATTTTGGTGACATGGTCTCGCTCCTTGCAGTCAAGGAATGGATAGTCACATCGTGGTTTATTGAGACTTGTTGATAGTTTTCACTCCTAAGCGCCACGTTTTTTTTTCACGCTTACTACTTTGATCTCTTCTCGGACAGGGTAGGGATAGGGGATATGAGAGGTCTCGTGCAGACTGATATGAACCATTCGGCGTCTATTGCAGCCGTCTTGATGTTTATTGCTTGGGCTCTCACTGGGTGATGAGTTGAGGCAAGGTGATACTTGAACGTTACATATGATTGGTGCTGGGTGGGATCTTATCTTGGGCTTTTGGGGTGGCTTTGGAGGTCTTTACGAATATCTTTCAGTTAATAGTGGATTTTCTCATTCCTGTCGAGTATCTATTTCTATCAATCATTATCACTGCGAACTATTTGGGGTTACACATCCATAAAAGTGACACTGAGCGTTGGCTTTCCATGATGTAACGGGGATTGGCAACCAAAGAATGATGGGGTAAATTCATTAGATCAGGACTATATTGCCATGGTATACTAGCCAAGAGAGGAGGCCATGCAGTTTCTTTTTGTGTCTAACGCAGTGCTTTCATAGACTGGGGGGCGTATTCCTAGGTAGCTCGAGCCGGGCATTCGAGCTGCCACTGCTTCGTTGGAGAGCATCAACGTTGTGTCTTAGTCGCTCTCGTCGCCGTCCAATGCCTCGTCGTGCTCCTCAACCCCGTTTCTTTCCTCAATCGCATCCTGCGTCTCATCTCCGCTCTCCTCGGCGCTGGCCCCGTCGTCTTCGTCCTCGTCCTCTTCCTGCTCCTCCTCGTCCTCATCCCGCAAATGCTCCTCGTCATCCTCAGTCTCGGCGTCATCCTGCTCGTCCCCGGCGGCAGCCGCTGCGGGATCAATCCGAGCCTTCTTGGCGCGGGGCCCGGACGCGTCCGATGCGGCACCGAGGGTGGTGTCGGCCATCTCGACGTCGTCTCCTCCCGCCTTGGAGTCGGTGGCGGTGGAGAGCGTGGAGGTGTCTCCCGCGTTTGAGGGCGCGCCGTCCTGCTTGGCGGCCTTGACTTTGTTACGGTAGGATGTGCGCTTCTCCGTTTGGATAGCGCTGAATTCTATAAGAAAGGAACGAAGAGTTTTAGCGATCAGGACTGGTAAGAACCAAAGGTTCCATGTGGTAGCATGGGAACGTACTGGCAAACTCGGCCTCTAGCCGCTCCTTGAGAAAACCGAACTCGGTATCCTCGAGGGCCTTGAAGACGTCATTTGGTAGTATAGTCTTCTTTCCGGCATTGACCGTGTGTTCATTGGCACTGTGGTTGCAATGTTAGAAGGGCTTGATTCTTTTTCGGTTGTCCCTCCTGTTGGGGTGAAACTTACTACGTGGCGAGGTAGTTTATGAAGACGGTAGTGCTTTTGCTCAAGGCGAGAATGGCATTGCCCTGGATCTGCGTATTTGGGGGCAACACACCCTTGGCCAGCCTTGTGATGATGGATTTGGGGAGAGTAAGTTCCTAGAATTGGGATGTCAGTCGATGTGAATATAGGCGCCTGCAACGGCCGCAGAGATATCAAATGGAAGGGAACCAACATACCTCGATTGTAGTGGCATCCTTATGCTCTCCTTTTGGGTCCTTGTCCTTGTCCTTGTCCTTTTCCTTTGCCTCCTTATCCTTCTCTTGGTCTTTATCCCCCTTCTTCTCTGTTACATCCGGGGCGTCCTGGGTCTGATTGGCCGTGGGTAATGATGCCGCCGGGAGCGAGGAGGAGCTGGGGGGAGCCGGGGCGATGTGCTGTGGGATGGCACCCTCCTTGAGGGCAAAGCGAGCGGTTGAGACATCGCTCTTACGACTTTCAGTGGACTTCCGTGGGGGCATGGTGAGAAGGAGGGAGGAGGCGGCAAGGGGTGGATTACAGGAGAGGGTGAAGGTTGTTTTTCACTCTGGGCTTATTGATGGACCTGGTGATGGGCGGGACGGGAGAGATGGAATTGGAGGGGATGGGAGTCACGCCAATGCATGCATGTGTGTATGCATGCGACTGGCTGCGGGTGAATGAGAGGGAGTGAAATTCTTGCAGGGAGGAGGCTGAGCAGTATGAGTGAGAACCCAACTCAACTCATAGGAGATGGGAGCCACGGAGGAATGAGTATGTTGTTGAGGAGGTCACTGTGGCTGGTGAGGGCGTTGTGGCTCAATGGCAGCAGGAAGGAGAAGGTGAGGTTGAGGTCGGTCCTGCCCGAGACGAATGGATGGTGTACCTGAAATGGCAAGAACGCGTGTGGGTGCAATGGTCGAGGTGCGGGAAGTAGCCTTGCCCAGCCCAGACGCGTGCGCTGGCTGCACTGACCGCGTTAAGTGCCGGCCGCTAATCGGGCACCACCTCAGGCCAGCCAACGGTACAACTTACCGGCTTACCCATACATTTCATTTGTTTATTTCAACTCCAGCTGCCTCCTACTTCTCAGTCACTTCAAGTTTGGACACCTATACCATGGACTCTTCTGACCAACCTTTGATTGCAGGCTTGGATGTTTAATGGCGGCGCCCCCATATATATTGCCACAATCAACGAGACCTCCTAGGCCTAGGTCCTTGCAACTAACCAGCCAGAACATGCGTGAATTGAAAACTAATAGAATATACCCATGAGATTATACTCTGATTTGAGCAGGAATGATATCAAATTCCAGTGGCCAGTCACACCTGGAAAAATCCGCAGCAAGGTTTCGAGCAGTCTCTTCCAGGAGTTTGATAAATCTCAAGCCTTCAATCTGTCAATCCCCTGTTTTCATCTGGAACATTCGTCGTCCGCTGTTCGAGCTAGCCGTAGACCTATGGATGATTTAAATTGAACCCAGGGGGTCTCAGTAACACCTTCAACTGGTTTCAAGTCCGTCAGGCCGCCGTACATGACGATTATATAAGTGAAGTACAGATCTCCGGTGAAAGGTTTGAGAACAATCAGAGAGCCTTGGGCATGGAAAGAAGATGAGGTTCAATCTGCCCCCCTTACATTTATCATCATTATTGATTCTTCGTTTTCAGACACAAACGCACATACCACTAGTTGATTACTACATGTGCTGCTACATCTAATATAGAGCAGTTTCAGGCAGGCATCGCGCCGAATTTCTGACGGCAAGCAACTGCTATACAGCCGCCGGCCCCGTTCCGGCTGTTGATGCCATCGACCCAATTCAAGGCCGTCCACGAAGACACCAAAGGCAACCAACCGGAACTTGCTGACGATCACATATATATTTACTCTGAAACACATAGAAGGCTCTGAGATCAAATAGTTCACTATAAAAAAGCTTCTCTTGCCCATAAATGGTCCCAGGTAAGAACAACGCAGCACTTCGACACTTGTTCAGTATACTACTCTCGTCCGAGAGAACATTTCAAAGACCTTGAAACTCCGATTACGCGGGTAGCGACATCCACCAATAGCAGCGAAAAGGCTGGGAAAATTCTCTCAACATTATCCCGTTGTTTCTGTGATAGTGGTGACGTATGGCAAAAGTATTACGATCGTCGCTCATGAATCTCGAGCTCCTCGCCAGCGCTGATCCGTCCACAGGTTAACAAAAAGCCCGATCCAGAAGACAACAGCTGGTAGTTCTATAAATTAGCATCAGTCAAGTGAAAGACGTGCAGATAATGTGCGTAAAAGAGTGTTTCCTTAGCTCCAGTTGCAGTCTCAAAACAGTTATCACTTTAGGGCCCTTTACCACATGGTGACGGACAGACTCTCTCTCATAGAATCCGGCAGAGGGAGATATTCACGAAGCATGAAAAGGAATGCAAGGTATATATCATATATTCTTATAGTTGATCTCATTTTCTTGTCTGTTCCTAACTAGCGTAAAACAATAAGTACATCGAACATCCGCAGCCCAGGACACATGTATATCTGGGCAGTGTGCTTTATCATTCTTTAGTGCAAAAAACCAGAACAAGGAAAGAGTGTAGAGTCATGACATATACATCATGACTTCTGTTGTTCGTCTTCTCAGGGGCGACGGCGCCACAATATCATTCCGCTCGCTCATCATCGCCATCGTTATCATCATGTATCAATCTCCTCCGAATCGAGGAATCTTGGGTATCTCCGTCAAAATGCATCAATCTAGGCTGCAAAAGAACCCAATAGCTCAAACAAGGAAGAGTGAAAATAAAGAATAAGAAATGACAAAAAAAAAGAAGAGAAATTTTGGTGGTTGTGGAGAGGAGTGCTGCCACTGTTCGTTGCAAATATTTTTGCAACATTGAACAGGGCATCAGAACGCCGGCATTGGCAGGAGCCACGTGTGTGGATGGTTGCCCATGGTCTTTGTCTTTGAGTCTTGTTTATCTTCCGATCTCTACACTTTTCCCATGCCCCTTTTGTTGGTCTGTTTCAAAAAGCATTGACCAAGGCTTATTCAGCCCGGCGGCTATGCCCAGACAACGGGTCATGATGATGCCCTTTTTGAGCTCTGAAACGAGTAGAAATCACCAGTACCCACCGTCCCGTCTCTTGCCGAGACGCCAGACATGGGTTTGAGGCACGCAGGAATAAGAAAAGAAACGCCGAGACGAGGAAACCCGCAATGTTTCCCATTTTGAGATGCAGATGCTACGCTCTAACTTGGCTGTAACTCTTCTTTCTCTTTCAGGCCTCGTGAGACGGACAAGTGTGAAGCAACATGCCACTGTGTTTGATCGTCTTTGCTCTAAATATGGACAAAGCGACCTGCTCAACCTATGGCACGGCCGATCTCAGATCTATGGACGACGGGTTGCGGAGGTAGCCCAACGAGGGACGTCTCCTCCAATGACATCCGAGGCTGGGTGAAACCGGCAGAGTACATCCTCTCGTGGCCTCTCTGGTTCCGCCGGGGAATGTTGTCGGCCGACTGGCGTGTTCGCAGTGGGTAGTCGTCTGCTTGCTCCTGTTGGCCATGCCAGCGTTCTCGCCCGAGACCAGTGTGGGCGCTGCGGTGTCGGTTATGCTGCGGCCGGACCACTGTAGCACCGTTGCTGTTGTGAAGCTTGCCGAGCCGCGACGTCTGGCGCTTCACCTGAGGGATATAGGCATCGTCACCCTGGACAGTGTCATCCGTGAGCCCCGGTCGGGAGTTGGGGGCCCGTGCTAACACAGGTGTCTGAGGGAGATCGACGCTTCTCTTATGGCCAAGCGACTTCGGCGAATGCTCACCAGACATCCTGGTCTGATATGAAGGTGGGACATTCTGGTAGACGATGAGGCTCGGCGGCTTATGGGCAGAGCTCACAGAGCTGTTGTGGTGATGGTGCCCTTGACTCCCGCTGTTGGTGTGTTGGTGGGTCAAAGGCCTCGTGCCGTGCTCGACATCGGATTCCTTCTCGTCGTTCTTCTCGACACGCCAAGACTCGATCTCCTCGTCTGCGATGGGGGTGATGCCACGGTTGAAGATGCCTGATCTTCGCCTGCGAACATAGAAGCAGATGGCGCTAGCAAGAGCGATGATGAACACCCCCGGGATCGTGGTGGAGAGGACAATGGTCAACGTCTTTCCCGCCATGATCGCTATGCCATCCCTCGTTGAATTGAATTGTGAGAAATCGGCTGTTCCTATGACCGGAGTTGTATCTCAATCGTTGATACCCAAGTGCCTACCCAGATCCGAATCCAGTCGCTGGTCTTTGGGTATAAGCTCGACGGTCGAAATAGGGTATTTTCGCAACAATCGAGGCCGGAACAGAACGACTAAGCCGAGAGAAAGACAAGTCCCGTATCTTCCTCAAACTTATCGAGATGCTCGAATGAAGACCTAGGCCGCACCAGGCGATGAATCCAGTGCAACGATAAGCTGGCCTACTAGTTCAAAGCTCTGTTAGCTCGCCTACAATCTTCACACTCCCACAACAGAAAAAGAAAGGTTCAGAAAAGAAGGGTGCCGGGTGGCAATGAAGGGGCATTTATATGAAAGACCGGGGTCAATACAGTGCAGGCTTCTAGAATGTCGGTGAATGGGAAATTATCCCATGTACAGGGTTTGAGGGTAAGCAAAATAATTAGTGAAAAGTAAGTACCTTGACACCTCAAATTAGATCGTATCACCAGACGACGTGACAGATTTTCTAACGATGAGAAAACGAGTGTATATGAATCCCTCTCCAGTGAAGAAGAAGGGTGGAAGAAAAGCAGAAGAAGCTTGGGAAGGAGCAGAGATGTCAAGCTGTATCCTTGCTCTTTTTAACGGAAGCCGCAGCCCAGAAGGTGTAAGCAGGTAGCGCCTGGCCCAGGGAAGGCACGACCGACTGACGATGCTGAGAAATATCACCACAAACCCTCACACTCTCATGAGTCTGCCCCCCAGATGTGAATAAGAGGAGTGGGGTGAGGGAGGAAAAAGGAAGCAGGATGGATGGCGATCAGGGAAGTTAATGAAGGCCGACAGAAGCGGAGGTCATGGCCAGCCAGGCGGGGAGGGGAGGGGGAAGGGTATATAGGTGATCGAAGCCATCTTAGTTCCTATCTCGGCTCACACACGCAGATAGACCTTGGCTCCCTGGTGGAGTTTTCCAAAGCGTGGCCCGGCCGGGCCTGCACCTCCAGAACATGATGCATACGAACATCCACACCCTGCTACGTGCATGCATACTACTTGCATGGGGGTTGGGGGGAGGGTGAGGGGCTGAGGGTCCGTCACCTACCAAGATGGGCCAGGGACGTTACTAGCAGCTCTCTCCAGTCCACTTTGCCGTCGATGTGTGTGTTGGTACCTGGCTGGCCAGTGTTAGCGGGCTGCAGGTTCGTACATGCAGCTATTCGTTGCGTGCGCTGGACATGCGTTTGCCATGGCGCGCTCCTCAACCCAGCAAGTCCACAGGCGCGATATGGAGCAGTCTAAACTTACCTACCCATAGCTACTAGGGGGCCTGGGAGGATGCGGAGGTGAGACGAGACACACACATGAGCGAGCGAGAAAGTCTTGATAATGCTATGTGCTACGGAGAGGGTGGTGGCTTGACTTGCAAGGGGGGACCTGGGCGCTATCAGATGGCAGCAGCAGCACCGCCATTCGCCTCCGATATATCTCCATGTGAGCAGACGGAGAAGCGCCAATTGCGAAATTGCCAAGCTCAGAATGTCTGATCTTTCGGGCCTGCCAGGGGGGTGGGGAGCGTGTGGGCAGCAGCGTAGCAGTGTGTATGTACGTGTATGATCGAGACAGACAGCTGCTCACCCACACCACCCGGCCAAAGGTGAGTGAACGGCGAAACGCAGGGAGGGAGGAGAAACGGAGAGCTGACCGGGACGTGATGGATTCGAATGAGAGCACCCACCTGATTGGCCGACTTGTACAGTTGTTCACCGTCGACGTGGAATGTCACAACGCTGTCGAAGCGGCGAGGCCGCAGGGAGAGGAGCGAATTGGAGCCGATCAGCATCAACGAGAGAGCCGGTCCTCCTCCAACCACGATTTGATCACTGATCGAGAAAATTGAATTGGTTCATTGACCAGACTTGATCGTTTCTAAAACAGCCCTGGACGACCTGCTAGGCCGAATGGTGAGTAGCGCGGGGGCCAAGCTCACTACAGAACCTAACCACGCTCCCTACAGGCTATCGCTACAGGGAGTCTGGGTGGCGGCACCCAGCCCAGACTGGCCCGGCCCCTGCTCTCCCCCATCGTTTCTGGTACCTGGTGCCTGCCCAGAAGGACCAGGACCCCGAGGTCACAAGGCGGTCACGGGCTTTTTTTCCTTCTCACGCTCGGCGCCGCAGGGGTGGGGTTTCGATCGTTGGAGCCCATCACCGACTGAGGTCTGATGAATGGCCAGGAGCTGTCCACGGCAGCATCTGCCTGTGATCCTTATTTTCAGATTGCTGACAGGAACAGCCTCTCAATTGGCCTTCTCCTGCTCAGCCCAACAACAACACAGCGATGCCCGACCCGGTCGTCTCGGGCAGATTCAATAGCTCTTCCAAGGACAAAGAGGCTGGGAGGCGACCGAATCCCTCCCTGCCACGCCACTCAAGCATCCGGGATGCCAGAGAGGCACGAACTACGGAAGTACTACAACCACTTAGCAGCAAGCCTCACCGGGTGCTTGACCCATGGGTCATGGCGGCTAAGCGACTTCACTCCTCTAGAGCTACCCTTCTCGCTCACCTACAGATCCCTAAAACGTCGTATTACTGTACTGGGCGCCCAGCTCTGGTCTCTGCCTGTCTCAGAGCGGGCGGCAGCTAGTGGTATGGAAAAAGCAAATATTAGCTCAAAAACGACAGAACATGGTGCTACTATAATTAATGATGTCCAAACGCCAACGGTGAATCTAACCAGCTTGCTGCCCCTTGCTGCTGCTAGCATGCAGGTCATTCAATAGTAAAAGGCGGAGAGCTAGAAAAGCAAAGTGAAGGGAGAGGGCCGTGAGCAAGACATGCAGACGAGGCCATTACACACCACATCGCATCATCCCAGCCCACACCATACCGGATACCTTGGTTTCCAAGGCTGTCTTGGTCTGGCCAGTCTATGTGTTCCAGCTCGGCCGTCATGTGGTCGCGGCTATCCGTTCCTGGTCCATCTGGCTGACACCTGCAAGCCATCCATCCACCCTCCCACTCAAAACCACGCAAAGAGAAGAAAATGCAGGCCCTTGACGTAGCATTGCGTGTATGCGAGCACCTTTCCAAGACAGAGGAGCGGGGAAGCAGTTGGAGAGCTTCGGCTTGCCCACAAGCGAGACCTGAGTAATTGCTCCACGACAGGCAATTGGCTCTCTCGATGTTTCGCATCTGGGTTCACCCACTTGTATTCCAACAAAGAGAGCCTGAGCCCTTTATTCTGCTCCGAGAGTTGACGGCGTCCCCGGCGGAGGTTACATAGCTCATAGCCATGGTAAAAGATGTTGCACCGAGAGCCATCCCAAACCCCCGCGTTTCCCTACGTTCAACCGTTTGATTGTTCGGTAGTCTGTTATCAAAATCTCGATGCATGTTCAAATCAGGCAGTACTTCCTAGCGCTATCAATACATCAGCTCTAGCCTTGAGCTTCAACTGCCTACAAATCCAGAGGGTGTTGAGACCATGCTTGGCGAATCACTATACGAGGTCTTCGTTCATCCTTGGGTGTGCTGGGTTCGGTAGTCTGCAATCTCCCACCTCGTGGGAATGGCCTCATCCCCTCACCCTGCCAGCTTGCTTTTTGACGCTTGGCGGGGACATATCATCTGCAGGGCTCCCCCCCTCCGCTTCGGAAGTTGAGCATGCTAGCGAAGGCGACGATCCTGCACAGCTCGACCTCCACCACATTCCAAAGACGGTTGCACGGCCGGATCGTATCAAGGAGAGGGACGGGCACCTCAACGGCATCCCAAACAGGCAATAGACCTCAGTTCCTTTCCAACAGCCTCAGAGTCCGTTCGATAATGACCAGGACGAGATTGGCTGGCCCATTGCTCCTCTCCACATGGCGCATTTTCGCCTCTCCTTCGGCCCGCAGTAGCGTGTCCTGCTAGCAGCCAAACAGAGGCCGAGGAAAGGTCTTAAAACTGCGATAGCCAGGTTTCACATCTCTCTTGAGCGGAGGTGCTGCAGGCGGGTTGCAATAGGCTGAGAGGCGAACCCGAGAAACACGCTGAACAGGAGGGGCACATCGAGTCAAAAAAAAAAAAAAAAAAAAAACCGTCGTGGCAAGTAGCCAATTAATTGCCTCTTCCAATCAAATGCCACGATCACCCGTCACCTCGGTCAAAGGAAGACGTGATGCAACGATACCGGGCGACACCGGTTGCTCAACCTTTTGATTATCCGGTCAGAAATGGCACAGCGGCTGGGAGAATGGCACGGTTACTCCTTTGGGCACTGCACTACTCGAACCGGATTCCCAATCCAATTCAATGAAAACTCGATTGAGTGCGGATACTAGTATAGCATAGCACCACCTACCTCACCGTTCTCCGCAAAGATTGAAGCCAGTGGTCAGGGGTTCATGCAATCGTTCGGACATTGAGCTCCTGCCACTGTTCCAAAATAGGGCGTGACGGCTGATCAGGAGATCTCAACGAGGAACTCGAAAGGGCACCACCATCCAAGACCTCCTCAACCGTAGTCGTCGTCGTCATATCAAGTACCGGTGGTGGCCCGTCCAAGGGTAGCCCCTGTCCCCCCTTCTGCCAGCCATCATATCCCTTTCTCACAAATCGATATGCGAATCCTCATTTTTGCTCAACTGGCTCTATACGACCGAGGCTGGGCCTTGAAGCAAGGGGTGGCGCCAGCTGCCAAGGCAAGAAGCGGGAGAAACACCAGGCCAAGCAATGGACCAGCCGGGGTTTCCGCCAGCTTAACTTCCAAACTCCACCGAAACCTCTCTAGTCCTCTCTCCCCTAAGCCTCTGAATAGAGAAGACCTAGGCACCCTCATTGCTGAGACAATACGAGAGATACAGCGACTGATTTCCCTGCAAGGCACTTGAGTCGCCCTGTGTCTGTAACCCAAGACAAACGGGTGAACTCGGGGACGGCTATCTGTCTCGTCTCGCCGTGGCTTACGGCACATGACATTAA